AAAATAAATTGCAATATATGTTATAATATTAAAAGTTATAATATATTAATTATGGTTCTCATCTTTAATTATATTATTTGTTTATATTATCAAGTTTCTTATAAAAAGAGTAGTTTTAGAACTTTATTAAAGAGGGAGAACATAATCATGATCAAAAGAATTTACTTAGTTTTATCGTTAACAAGATAATTACTAAATACATATGTATACTAACAAATATACTTGTAATAATTCTTTTTAATTTAATAAAACTCTAAATTACTTAACTCATAAATTATACTTTGTTATTTGAAATATACATTGATTATATAAACCTTAAAAAGCTCTTCATAAATCATAAGTCATAAAGCTAAATTCTTTGTTAATCTTACATTAATACTAATTTTTAGTCATTAGTATCGTAAGATAACAGTACATTAGATTTGTCTAGTTATAAGAAATCAAATAATAGTTGTTTTATGCTATTGATTAAGATCATTTATTTTTAATATTTTTATTTTTTTATTTATAAAAAATCATATAATATTTAACTATTTTGGCTAATTGATGATTAAATATTATTATTAAGCTAATGGATTATTATAGTATTTTTGGTTATGAATCTAAGAGTAAAATTCATTTATTCATTATTTTACTTTATTTTATTTTATTTATAATTAAACAAAAAAAAAATAAATAAATAAGAAAAAAAAAATTTTTTTTTTTAATATTGTTTGGTTTAAAACCTTTTATCAAGTCCTATAATTAATAGTAATATATATATATATATTATTTTTCTGATTTAGACTTCAAAAACTAAAATGAATAATTTTAAAATCTTAAAAGATAACTTTAGTATAATTGTAAATTTTGTAAAGAAAAAGCTAAAAAAATTATTAATCTATAATTATAAAATAATTATTTTTCTTAATTTAATTAACTTAATGATTGATTAGTAATAAAAATAACTGAATATTTTTAATTAAGCCAAAAGTATATTTTGATTAATAGATTTATATCTATAATAAAATAATTCTAAAAGTAAAATAAGTAGCTTTATTATATTATTTTTTAATCCTAAAAACAATAAGATTCACAATTTTTTTTATTAATTGTTTTTGATAATATAAAGAAGTATTATCTGTTATTTATTCAACATATCTAATATAAAGTAGAAAATGCATTACAAAAAATAAAGAATGGTTGGTAGCTAAAAAATATATATATATATATATATTATATTGCTTTATTAAAAATATCTGATCAAGTTTTTTTTAATTTTTTCAAGATCAATATATTAATTGGTATTTTTTTAAATAAAGGCTCTAGCTTTGATAATTTACTGTATTTTTTATTTATTTTTATGACACATATATCAAATTTGGCAATATAAATATGAACAATAATCAATTTTATATAATAATAATTTTAATTTTTTTTACAGTGTCATTCAAAGCATATTTTGAAATGAAAAAAAATTGCAAGTTAAATGAATTTGAATATGAAAACATCATTGGTCTTTGGATAAAAGAAATAACTCATGAAGTAATTGATTGTATCTTAAAAATTCCAAAAAGTACTATTACTGACACAATTTCTTAATACAAAAATTTTATTATTAGATTAACAGCTTAAAGAAATGAAAGATTATATTAAAAATTGTTAAAAAAACAATCAACTTTTTCTTGATGAAATTCAGTAGAATTTTAATAAGTTACAAGATAAAAACATTTCAGCTGTAAGCATTTATAAAAATTTTATCAAATAGGAATTTATTTACAAGTTTTTATGTCAAAACTACTTCTTATAGAATCTCAACATAAAAAATAATTATTATAATGCATAGAATAATAAAATTAGTTAGTTAGGCAATAGAAAACTGTTATATGAAGTGATAGATCCAGATTTATCTTTTTCAAAGTGATAGTTCTAATTATATTTGGCAAAAAGATAGACTTGATATAAAATTAAGAATTTAATATAGTTAAATATGATAGTGAAAATGTTATGATATGGTATATTTTTTGAAAAAGAAATTAGAACTATTAATAAAAGTAGATAGTAAAATGAATAGATTGGATTATATTAATTTTTTAAAAAAAATTTATTACTATTTATCTGATCTAAATATCACAAACAGCCTATGCATTTCAGGATAATAATGTTCCTATTCATATTATAAAAGATATTAAAAATTAGATTACAAGAAAAAGGTTAAGGTTCTCTCAAATTGGCCTTTTCAATCTTCAGATCTTAATCTAAGGTTTTTGTTTGAAATTCAAATTGAATTTCAAATATTTAAAAGTTTTTTAAAAAATATTTAAATGAATATTGAAATTATTTCAAATATCAAAATTAATTTCAAATATCAAAAATCATTTCAAATATCAAAATCCGTTCCTAAAAAAAAATAAATAAAAATCAGTAAAGAGAAGAAAGAAACACTTAAAGAAACTCTAAAGAAATCCAAAGAAACCTAAAAAAAGAATCTAAAAAGACTTACCTATCTGAAAGATCTGTTTCTAAAAAAAAAGAAGTAAAATAAGAAACTCAAAGAAACTCCAAAGAAATCCCAAAGAAATCCAAAGAAAGAACCCAAGAAGTCTTACCTATCCAAAGGATCCGTTTCTAAAAAAAAAAGGTTAATTAATAAAGAGTAGAAAGAAACCCTCCAAAAAATCCTAAAGAAATCCTAAAGAACCCACCATAAGAAAAAAGACTTACCTAAAAGAACAAAAGATCTGTTCTTAAAAAAAAAAGCAAAAGAAAATTAGTAAAGAGAAAAAATTCACCTTTTGAAGAAACCCTTCTATAATTTAAAAAAAAGTTTTTTAAACTAACCTAAAAATTAAATAAATTAAAATTAAAATAAACGATTGATTGATAATCAGATTTTACCAAATATTTTGATAAATATTTAAATTGTAATAATCAGAAATCAATTTCGATATCGGAAATGATTTTTAATATTTGAAATAGTTTTGAATATTTGAAATCAGTTAATCAATTTCAAATATTTGATTTTTTTTATTTGACAAACAAATATTCAAATATTCTATTTTAAAACAGAAATTCTACCTTAATCCTATTGAATATTTATAACATGAACTTGAATGGAGACTTCAAAAATAATCTATACATCCAAAAAAATTTTATGAACTCAAAAAAACATTATAAGAAGAATGAAAAAGAATTTTATCCAAAATTTATATTAATTTAATTGAAAGCATGTCACTTCAGATTAAAGTATATATTAAAAGTTAAGGATAACCAACTAAATATTAAATATTTAATAATAAAATATAACTTTTATTGATTGATCAGGATCAATCAAATACTTTTAATAGAGTAGTGTATATCTTAAAATATTATTTACTAAATAAAAGATCAATGCAATATTTTTAATTTATAATAATAGGAAATAAGAAATAAGTTCTAAACATGTTTGAACATTACCAGTAAAATTAAGTTATGAGATATAGTAAATCATATGATCTGTAATGTAATTTTACTGGCAACACTTCCATATCTTTAATTTTTAGCAATTTCATTTAACTTGACTAATATTTTTTTTTACTAATATACAAAATATTTTCAGTAAAATCAAGTTATAAAATTTAATAAATCATATAATTTATAATGTAATTTTATTGGAAATATTTCTATATGCACTCTTTAAAAAATCTATTTTGTATCTTTTTATATTGTATTATAATTAAATAATAATACTTAAATATGAAATTATAATAATTCGTGTATACTATATAATACTAATTACTATTATGTAAAATACTTTTATACTAGTATTATATATAAGATATTTCTTATAACGATAATGTTCTGAATATATCCGGTCAATATTCCATTTGTTAAGGGAGTTTATAAATAACGAAATTTTAATTGGTCGATTCTTGAACCAATGAAACTTGTAGAATCATTTTTTACACTTTTCCTGAATTGTTTTAACTTGGTAATCCGCACTGAATATTTTTTTGTGATGACCCCTGCAAAAGAAAAACTTTCGAATAAGGCTTAGCAACCCTGTATGATTAACATCGATTACTAAGCACAGCTCTCGCAAAAGAATGCATAAAAAACTTTAAATAATTCACAAAGTGCACCAATAAAACCATTTACTTTATCTAAACAAATCTAAAAAAAGTAATAAAATTTACACTTTCAGGGAAAAAAAAAAAAAAAAATGACAATCAATTTTGTCATGGATTATTTCAAACTTTGAGTATAATAAGCAAAATTTTTCTGATTATTCGAACCTTTGATTTTTTTTTTTTTTAAAAAAGACAATAATGAATCGGAGAATATGTACAAAAGATTTTTATAATCATCCATATCTACAAAATCGATTGAAATTTTGCAACATTGTTTACAAACTAAGGAGTGGGGAAAATAAGCCCGCCAAAAATCAATTAAAATAATATAAAGCAAAAAAATAAAGGAAAAGAAAAAGAAACCAATCACTTGAAGAAAGGGTATCACGAATAAATTTTGATATGTATGAAATGTATTATGTTCCATAATAGGTTGGATGTTGTAACACAACAAACAATACGCGTTCATGATGGTTTCGCGCAGAAGGCATAGCAATAATTTTACGATTGGTTTCTATAAAATCACCTCTTTTTACTTCACCTTTGGATTGGAAAATGTTCCTATTTTTTTTATGTTTATAAAAAAAAAAAAAATTTTAAACGACTTTTTTTATCGACTCCAAAGATTTTTTTTTTTTGAACGACCTCCTTTCACGTTATTCACTTAACAATCATCCTGTATTAAATCAACAAGTCTCGTTTAATCATAAACTTTACTCTCTTTAAAAATACTTTGACGTTTTAAATTTAACGATTTTCTTTCACAAGGTAAACAATCGGATATATTTCGAAAAAGTTGTGAGGATTCGATATTATAACTGCATCATTCACATCCGTTCTCTCCCTAGATTCTTCACAGGTAAAAAAAATAAAACAAAAAAAAATAAAGTTTAAAATTTTTTTAAACATAAAATGAATCCTTCAACATCACCACCAACCGAATCTCAAAAATTCTCAACAAACGATCCTGCTGTCGTTTCTTTTGTTGAAGAATCTCCAGAATCACCAACTTTAATCCGTCGTCGTAAAATTTTTGGTACATGCAAAGGATGTAATCAACCGAATACAAACTTTAATGAGTGCCAAACGTGTATTAATTGGTTAAACGAACAAGGATCAAACATATTAACCCTCAAATCCTTAGTGATCCGACGTAAATCGCTAATTTATAATCAATCTTGTCTTAATTGTAATCAACCCAAGCATATCCATCATAAGATTGCCGCTTGTAATAATTGTGGTTTTCCTGAATATGATGTGGTAGATTTGTATGGAGTCGCCATTGAAGATATCTACGATGATGATGATTATGATCGTGATGATGATGATGAGGAATTCACTGGAATTAAAATTTCGGATTTGTCGTGTTCCAGATGTGAATTGCCCATGACAAGCTGGTTGAGATGTCCTGATTATAATGACGTTATCGATATGATTTGTTTGGAATTGGATGAAATGAATTTTGATGATCCAGACTATCAAAAATTGTCGGATGCAAAGGAGGTAAGCTTTCAATTTTCGTTTTGGAAAATCATATTTTTCAAGCAAAATTCTTTGCATATAAACGAACTTTTCGATTCTATCTAGCATTACGAAAACCTTCTTCAACTAGAAGAAGATGAATGGGAGGCTGATGAAAGAGATGACGATGAGACTGATGAGGACGAGAAGGACGACCACAAATACAATGGGATCATTGATCCGAAGACCGTTCTGTCCATTCTCGGTTTACAAAGGTATCAACAACATCATCATCTCCCCTCAAGTTTGCGGGCACAAACCAATTCTATATCGTTGTATCTTATAAATAATAATTGAGACTTAATCATTAAAAAACTAAAGGAAAAAAAAATTAATTAATATGGTTCTTAGATTAATGAGATTCCTTTATTTTATTTTAATTTTTTTTTTGATTAATTAGTTTTTATTTCTTATTGTTTGCTCATTTTTCAATTTTCAAATATTTTTTGTTTTGTATTTTTATATTGTACAGTGATATCGAATTGTAATTTCTTTTTAATTAAAATAATTGATGTAAAAAAAGAAAAAATTTTGAACGTGGCGTAATACACGATACATTACAGTTCGCAAATGAAGATTCTAGAGCCTTTTTTTTTTTTCATAGTTTCACCATTTTGCAATATCAGTGTTGATGGCAAATCTGAGCTGCTTTCGGTGTAAAATTAAATTTGAACATTTGTTTGTTATTGTTTGAAGTCATATATTTCGGATCGGTGTTTTATAACTACCCCATGTAAAAAGAAAAATGAGATGATGTCGCTTTCGTTACAATATTTACGAGGAATTGCAGACTTGTCACAGGATACATATGAAACCTACAAGAACATTGATAATGTTGCTTTTCTCCGTGAAACCGACTTTTTTTTTTAAAAACGTTCCCTAAATAAAAAAGCAAACATCACGACAACTCGCAGCGAGAACAGATAGGTCATATGCAGGGATCAAAACGATGACGCTTTATCAATAGGTTTTTGTTTGTAAATATTCGAATCTTACGAAATCATCTCTTAAATACACAAAAAAAATTTCTTGCCATTGATTTGTTCAATCGAATCATAGTCGATTGGTGAATCGCAACGAATCAAAATGATGATCCTTCTTTAAAAAGTCAAGGGTCCTTTTAGATAGATGATGATAAATTACGACATGACCAATACAATTAATTAATAGACATTTTTGTGCGCTTTTTTTTAACTTTATGATATAAATTTGGATTTTTGAACAAAAAACATCTGAAACTCGGATTTGAATAAAAAATAAATATAATAATATCCTTTGAATTTGATTGGATAATTGAGCAAATGCGAAAATGTAACGAACAATGTTCAAATGACTTTATTTAGTAATTTCTATTTATAAATTTCAGCTTTTTGAAAATTAACAATTTAGGATATTGCAGAAAACGTTCTTGGCACTTTTCCTCTTTTGGTTTTCTGCTTATCAAACGTGACGACCAAAGTAGAAAAAATCAATCGAAATAAATTCTCCTTTAAAATTCATCCCACGTTCAACAAGAAATTTTTAGCAAAATTTTGTTACGTTTCACATTCTCTTGATATAAGTTTTATCATCTTTTTTTTTTTAATTAAAAAAAAAATAAATAAATAAATTAATAATCACGTCCCCCCACCCCTCTTGTATAAACAACGTGGGGCCATTTCATTATTGAATATTTTAGAAATTATTGCCATTGAGATAAAAATAAGAGCAATTAAGGAAATTTTAATGTTACAAGCCCAGATTTTCGTTATGAGTTGCATAATTTTTTGACTCGTGATGATCTACCCACCAAACTAAATGCCGATAAAGCAATAAATGGCTGAAAAATCCCAATTGTACTTTTAAACTCCTAATAAAGAACAAAAATTCGAAGGCACCACTAAAAAATATTAAGTAATTTACCCATTATATATATATATATGCAAGTTAATTAATTAAAATTTATGCAACGAAATTAAACTTTATATAGAGAATTTCTTATTGAAGTTAAGAAATGGTTACGTTACACATTCAATTTACACATGGATTGTTGAAAGTTTAATTTTTCAATCTCCCGGATATTATTATAATATTATAATAATATATCAAACAAAAATAGAAATGTCGAGCAAAAAAAAAGAAGCATGAATGCGTGTGTTACAAGAAAAAAAAACAGAACAACTGCATGTAATAAAGAAAATGTCATCTTACACGACATACGATAAAGTCAAAAAATTAATATTATAATAATTAAACAACAATCATCGTTACAATAATATATATATACCAACATTTGTGCTATAATGACGAATCAAAAAAATTTACCATTTTTTAATAAATATAAAAATCCTTTGAAAATAGACAATCTCAATAATTTTTTTTTTCCCTTTTTTTTCTTTTCCTATCCCTACCTTTCATCACTCATGAGAAAAGTATGAAATCTTTGAAATTCTTGCAACTTAAAAACCGGAACCCTGGTGGTCGCCAAACAAGAAATAGCTTCGCCTTTTTTCGTACACAGGATGAAGGTATATCAAATGTTAACATACCACCTTCATTAAGGGAACCAAAATTGGATTCAAAAAGAGAATCAAAACGTGAATCGAAATTAGAAGCAAAGCGTTTACAACAATTACAACGTGAACAAGATGCCGCTGTGGGTGGAGGTGGTGACGGCGGTGGAGGAGGTGGTGGTGGTGGAGGTAGAGGAATAGGTGTAGGAATAGGTAATAAACCCGAAAAGGAAAAGGAGTTCGCTTCGGCGTTTAAAACTTACTTGGCGAAAAAAAAGAATCGAAGTAACCAAAGGCAATCGGTGGCACAAAATGTACGCTCTTCAGCCGTCGAACCTATAACCATCACTACCTTAAGGGAAGAAATACAACAACGTGAGGCCGCCTTAAAAACCTTGGAAAATAGGATAAAGGGTATGGAATCAGAGAAAGAAAAGGTCATACATGATTTAAATCAAGTACAATTACAGCTAAAGGATCGTGGTCAAGAGGTCAAGGACCTAAGATCTTCATTATTAGAACGTGATCACACTACCGGACAATTAAATGATACTCTAAGTAAATTTAAAAAGGAAAAGATTAATTTACAAATTGAACTTGATAGAACAAAATCTGAATTAAAGGTTCGTGAAGGGGAAATAAGGGAATTAAATTTCTCCCTATTGGAATGTGCTCATGATTTACAATCTACGAAAACGGATCTGGCTGCAACCATAAGTGAAAGTGATATAGCCATAGAAGAATTACAAATACAATTAAAAGAACGTGAACAACTCGTTCGTAATCATGCCGTTCAGATAAAATCTTTAAAACGAAATTTGGAAGCTACCAAGCAAGATCTTACTAACGCACAAAATGAACTATCGGCTGCTCAATCCATGTGTAGTGCCGAAATTGAAGCCGCTCAAGCGATGTGTTCTGCTGAACTTGAAGCCACAAAGGCAAAATCTTTAGCCGAAATCGGCGTGATAAGAGCAAAATATGCTGCGGAACTTCATGCCACAAAAGAAGAACATGCTGATGAATTAGAGGCTACAAAGGCTCAACTTTCCTTTTTTAAATCTCAATTGGATTCAACTAAAGCTCAGCTTTCTTTTACAAAATCAAAACTTGAATGGGCAAAAGCTGACCTCTCTTCGATCAAAGGTTTACTTGATACTACAAAATCTGATCTTGCCGCTACAAGTAATAAATATAAACGTCAAACCGCCGATTTGAAATCAACAAGATCGGAACTTGACGAAAGCATTGAAATGGTTGCTCAAAGAGATGGTATAACTTCCTACATAATACAGGTTTATCAAGAAGATATCAAATGCGAAAAAGAACGCCTCGGCGCCGAGCTTGACGATACCAAAGAGCAACTTAATAAAATTAAAGCCACGCATGAGAAAGAAAAGAAGGCTAATGCCAAAACTATTAAACAACTCACAAGTCAAGTTCAAAATTTAACAAATCAACAAGGTACAAAATCGGAAATTGGTTTGATTGTATTTGTGGCGTAGTGAGATTGTTCGCTAAAAAAAAAATTTTTTTTTTTATTTCTTTTATCCTTTTAGTACAAGAGAAAGCCAAATTATATCAGTTAGAAGGAGAAAATAACAAATTACGTAAACAACTTGAACAAACGAAATCGCAAGGTTGGTACATAATATTTCCTTCGCAAAAAAATTAAAATAAATAAAATCTAATAATTTCCTCCTTATTTTAAATTCATGAATCTATAGCTTCAGAACATTTATTAATGAAAGAAGAGATCGCTCGATTACATTCACAAGTTATACAATTAAAGAATTTGTCAAAGAAACGAAACAGCATCGCACAATTATATGAAACACCCAAACACTTTGCGGCACCATCAACACCACCAGAATCACCATGCAATTCATTCCCCAACAATGATTTATTTGCTGATTTGAGACAAGAAACTAAAGTAATGCAAAATTCCAGCGAAGAACACCAAATTAATAGTTGTACAGTAACTGATGATTGGGTCACTGTAAAGAAAAGAAATAGTAATAAGCGATCATCAAAAGGTTCACTTCGCAGTAATAAATCATCGCCTAGCCGTGGAGGACGAAGGGTGAGAATTCTTTCTTTTGCAAGTTTATCGCTCTTTTTGTTTGACCTCATAGTAGATTGTAAGTCTAACCCTAAATTTTAATTAATTCAAAGTATTAGATATTACATACGTTGAATTTCAGTTATGGTAATAGAATCATGAAAAATCAACCTTTCTACTTCCTTTCACTCGGCGATATTGGACCCACTTACAAAGAAATGAATTGCGCTTCGATTTAATCCGAAAACAACTATTATGCATTAATCTCAAATCTCAATAATAACAACAATCATTGCATTTTTTTTTTCTATTGCATTTTTTTCACTTTTTCATTATTTTTCTGTGTATTTATTTATTTATTTTTTATTTCTTTAACTTTGGAGGATTTTTTTTTGGGGAAACATGTATTTCTATCAAAGATTGTAACATTTTATTTAATTATTTTATTTACCACCTGAGGAAAAAAATCTAATTTCTCCATATATATTTTTATAATTTTTTTTCATTTTATTTTTTTTTTTTAAAAAAAAAAAATAATCTTTAAGATATCGGATTTAACGAGCGAGCAATTTCACAAAAAAAGTAACGAGAATCATTACAAAAAAAAACAATTACGTTTTTTTTTTTTTAAAAAAAAAAATAATGTTTCTTTAAATATATTATTATTCTTTAAGATTTATCTTTTAATTCATTTTAAAAAAAATTATTCTTTTCAGTTATTTATTTATTTAGTATAATAACGGATTTTATCAAAAAAAAAACAAAAAAAAAAAATTAATAAATTCAAAAACAACTAATAATATTTAATAATAATTCATTGGGCCAATTTAATTATAAGGGCTTCAAAAAAAAAAAAAAGATTTCATTCATTATTCGAATGTATTCATTGAAATCGAAATCACGTAATTAAGTTGATTTTAAAATCATGTCCCCGAAAGATCATAAAGATGAAAAATCAAACATTTCAAAATATAATCTACCTGTTCTTTAGGTAAAGCTCATAAATTATTAGTAATCGTTTTAATTTGGAGAAGGAAATTTGATTGGACGCCTGATAGAAATATTAAAATATTTGTTTTCGTGTCAAAAAGTTAAAAATTCGAACCATTAATACTAATAGTTGGAATTTATCGCATAAAATTAGGGAAAATATAAAAATATTTGTTTGGTGTTGATTTTAATGTCGTGCTAATTAATTAATTAATTATATATGATTTACACACGTGCATTGTTTGGCAGAAATTTTGTTTCAAAAGATTTTGAATCTCTCTAAGATAGTGCAAGTTTTCGTCCGAGAGAGCCGAGATAAGGGAAAGAATTTTAACCAATTACACATAATGATTTAAGCTGCAAAATATATTATTATTATTATTTGGAATCATCTCGTCTTTTCGTATTCACTTTTGTCGAATTGTGGTGTATTTTTTTTTTTTAAAAAAAAAAAATAATGACACAAAGTGAAACCTCCGAATTTATTTGTTATAAAGTTAAAAGTTAATTTTTGGCGGGGAAACTGTTGAGAACCAATTAAAAGACAGGGTTTATTTATTTATTTTTTTTTCGTCGATTGCTAAAAATTAAAATTTAGGCTCTCACTATAGAAGGAAATTTTGTATGATTCGCGATTTGAATGCATGTAAGTTCTGCAATTTTAAAAAGTAAAGTTATAATTCATCCAACCGTTTCACATGAAATTTGATTTCGATTGGAAGAATGTTTTGGAGAATCTTTTTTAGAATTTGTCAACCTTTGGGTTATTAGTGATACTTTGAATAAAGGATCATAAGATGGATTGTTTTTCAAAATATCTGACCCATCATATTACTTAAAGCAATTAGGTTACTTTTACCAATTTCGCCCCGTAATTGTTTCATACAAGATTTGTGGAAAAAAAATAACTCCTTTGATAAACTTTTTTGGTGGTCAAATAACTGAGTCCTTTAATCATAATTCTAGAACGTATAACAAGAGGCTCGATAATCTTTATCTTTTTCATCTCGACATTGTTATTAGCGTATGCGCGCAGTTTATTTACTCAAGTGCAACTGTTTTCAACGTTGTGGTCGAGTCAAGCTTTATGACCGCGCTTTATTATGACATTGTTTATATATATATGTACGTGCCTTCTAATCACGGTATCCACCAATGAAGATAATAAAAGAAAACTTAGTTCAAGTAAATCGTATATTATATTTTAACCCTTGTTCATAAACTTTCAGAACTACCCAAGCAAATGGTTTAGGAGGAAATAATCAAAAATTATTGGCCTTAGTCAAATAAAATAACTAGCGCAACAGAATTATTCTTGATCTCCAAATACGAATTTTGTATAGAATTAATTATCATAATTCTTCAATTAAACACAATTTTTTCAGCTGGGCTTTCCATTAAAATTGAAATAATTAAGTTCTCTTATTCTTGGAAACCACGTGACCGAGTTATATACACGTAATGTCGAAAATATTACTTCCATAGTACTGAGTTTCCGTATGTGGAAGAACTTGAGGTCCACGATGATTTGAATTGAAGTACTGGAAATCGATATCTAGGTGAAAAAAAGGGGATTCGTTTTTTATTCGATATTTTAATTACATTAAGAGTTTATTTTCTTGTTCTTTAAGGACGGAAACAGGTTTATTATCTCCCAAAATGATTGAATATTTCTTTATCATATCAAATTACTATGTATTTAATAAAACGTACAATATATTTTGTTAGATTATTTCCGACTTAAAAATTGAGGCGCAACTAGAAAATCCGTTTCGATATTCCTCTGGTTATCTGTAAGAATACCCAAAAATATTTATATAACGACAATAAAGTATAAAATTTTGACTGCGCTGCGCCAGATTTAATATCGGCATTATGGATCACATGCTTCGTACCTTGATTAATATAGCATAATATTTTTATTTTTTTTTTCTGGAACAATAATAATTCATGAACTTAAAGACAGAGGTAATCATATCAATCTTTTGTTCTAAATAACAGAAATATCATAGGGATGTTAAAATTGATATATGACAGTATATGGGGCTTCGTTTAATAGAAATACTTCATCCCACTTCTTAATTTGTATGGAGTTTTTCTCTTGACGAAGTCACCATAAAATGTTTACGAATTGAAGAAAATTTTGTATTTAGTCAAAAATTTTTCGATTTGTAATATGTAATTTTGGCCAGAATTATCTTTCGAATTTGTAATTCTGACTGGAATCAAGAATTAGTAAATTATTTCTGGTATATTAAATTGCAATACTAACATTATCTTTGCATGTGTCTACATTATTAACCTAACATTTAACTATAGGACCTTAATTTAAGAACATCAAAAAACTTTACGAAAATGGTTTAAACCATTTTAATTGAGGAATCCATTATCATAAGATGTGAATTAATTAATTAAGTACATTAGATGCAAAAGTTGAGCCATACGAACTAAATTCTTTAATAGTTTCATCATTCACAATTTATAAGCCTTTCTTTTGTCATCAATAGAAAAATTTCTTGATAAAAGATTATCTTCCCCTTTTATTTTCCATTTATATCTGTATAGAAAAAGGATCTTAAAATCTTTCTCGTGTTTCAAGTGACTGTTGTTATGTGATGCAGAATATATTATACTTTTTAAAATAAGGACCGTTCCGAATATTGTGATATGTTTGGCTCAATTTAATATTACTTATTAAACGAAATTTAGAGTTATTTTGTATTAGTTGTTTACTGCTCAATCGCCGATAACTTTCAGGGTCCTGATAATATCTCAGATTTCACGGTAAATAATTGATGTATTTCTGATTACTAATTCTCATGATAAGAAAAGGATAGATTAATATTTTTTATTTATACTTTTTTTTATATCGGTAGTTTTGCATTTAATTTTACTGACGATTTTTGAATTTTGATTTTGGCGAACTCCGATGCGTATTATCATGATCTATTCGAATCGGTTGACAAAATTTTTTAAAAAATGTCAAGTGATACCGAGCTTCACTTCATTCTTTTTTATTATTATATTATTATTATATTATTTATTTTATAAAAAAAAAAAGATAAAATAATGATAAAAATAAAAAATAGATACTTTTACGATATGTTAGATGAGATCCAATCTTTGTTGCGTTGTGGAAAAGATAAAATAAATAAATAAATAAATAAATAAAAATCCGGAAGTATGTAAAATCTTCATGATATTTTTAATTTATCAATCTTCGGGTTAATGTTGTTTTACAAGATTTATAATTTTTTTTTGAAGTGAATACCTTTTTGGAAAATAAGAAAAAGAAGAGAAATTCTTGCATTAGCAGACGGTTTATCCAAACAATATTAAGAACCGTGATTAATAGATAATGAACCTTTCAATGATTTAAATTTCCCTTAAAGGGTTCTTTTTTTCTTTAATTCTTAAATGGAAACTGCGAGAGATTATTAATTGAATATGTAACGATCAACGAATTTTCATATTCCGATTGACCTTATCGAATAAAAAGCTTGCAGCAAATAATTTTGAAAGAAGAACCCTTTGCGATACTTAATTATAAGATTAATTAATTGCATTATCATAGTTTTACAAAAAATCAATAAAGAAAACAAGTGAAAACTTTAAAAAAGATTTTCATGATGAACTTGCTTGTTGAAATGGATACGCGTATAATGGGATGATGATTTTTTTTTTCCGTATTCAGTTAACTCAAAAATTTACGAGACAAATAAAGAGTTGTCTTACAAACTAAGAAAAATAAAGGGAACAAGAACCAAAGCAAATTACTTAAAGTGGTTAAAGTTTCTTTCGATTGTGTAAAAAATCACTATGGGAATTTTACACGTACATTGGTCAATGAAATTCTGCACCAAGCGGATGCAACGGGCTTTATTTGTATCGTATATCGCGTAAAGTTTTTATACAAGACAAGAAAAATTAAATGCGTAGAGCGAATCAACCATTGAACTAGAACGCGGCAGGCAGGAGATCGCGTCTTTTAATAAAAATGATTGTTAAAGAAGTAGAACAATAAACAATTTAAGGAATACAAAGAGCAAACCACAATAGATTACTTTAAAGAACGCGAGCGAATTTAGCAAAGAATATAATTTTTTTCCTTCTTTGACTTTCCCGGAATTTACGTACGATTAAATAAGATCATTACATGATTACTTAATTCTTTATTTATCAAAATGTGATAATAATAAAATGATTTTTGGCCATGGTAAGAAAATCACCTTAAATTTCTCATTGTAGG